CAGGCACATCTAGCTGCAGCACGACCCGTATATTTCCGCACGCCGTGTTCTCAAGACATATTTTTTTTAACATTTTCAACATGGTGGATAAATCCTTATATGCTCCCGGCAACACACTGAGCGTCAACTTTGCCTCCTTATTACACTCACCCCTACTTTAGTGGGAACAATGAGTCTGCGTCTTTGATGCACACAGGAATAAACGCAGATCATCCTCTGGCTGCAGCCTCTACCGGCACTTGCTTTTGATCAAAGTCAATACGGAAAACCTGCACTCACACAGGTAGGTGGACGGGAAGGGAATGAGCACTTTTACAGCCCTTTTGGCGAGGTGGGGGAACTCACTGTCCACAGACAGCCACAAGTGGGCAAGTGTCACTTTACTCGTCTTTTTCTCGTTCTTTTGTTTCTCACGCTGCGCCTCCCCTGAAGCTCTCTGGCGCCCCCCAGGGGAGGCGCGCCTCACACTTAGAAAACCGCTGCTATAGAGGACCAAATGAAAAGCATGTGTAAACCACTAGTACATATTTCACAAAACAAAATTGTTTTCAGTACTACTTTTGCAGGTCATCCTTGAAAAAGAGATCTTTTGATCTCAAGGGGCTTTAACCTGGTTAAATAAAGGCTACAAACAAACCGTTTTGGGTACTTTGTCCCTGTTCCACTTTTAATAATGTTACATTCATCTTCGAGTACCTACAAAACTGACTCATGTATGTTTGTCTTTAGAAGAAGAGTCTAAAAAGGAGGTAGAACCTAAGAAACCATCCAAAGAAGAGGGAGAAGTCAGGAGGCCTTCAGAGGAGAAGAAAGAAACACTAAAGCCTGAACAGAAGTCATCAGGGACAAAACCCTCTGAAGAAAAAAGAGATGTGGAAACACCACCCAAAGAAGAAAAGGAAGTCAAGAAACTTCTCAAAGAAAAGAAGGAAGACAAGACATCTCTTAAATTAGAGAAAGATGATGAGAAACATCTCAAAGAAGAGACAGGTGATGAGAAACATTCTAAAGAAGATAAAGAAGTCAAGAAACATCTAAAAGAAGATATAGACGACAAGAAACCATCCAAACAAGAGAAAGCCAAGAAACATCCAGAAGAAGAGAAAGAAGCGAAGAAACCTCCAAAAGAAGTAAAAGAAGTCAAGAAACCATCTACAGGAGACAAGACATCTCTCAAAGAAGACAAAGAAGTCAAGAAACCATCTAGAGGAGACAAGACATCTCTCAAAGAAGAAAAAGAAGTCAAGAAACCATCTAGAGGAGACAAGACATCTCTCAAAGAAGTCAAGAAACCATCTAGAGGAGACAAGACATCTCTCAAAGAAGACAAAGAAGTCAAGAAACCATCTAGAGGAGACAAGACATCTCTCAAAGAAGAAAGAGTAGTCACGAAACCTCTAAAAGAAGACAAAGAGTCCAAGAAATCTCTCTCAGAAGAGAAAGACGTCAAGAAAATATCTAAAGAAGAGAAAATAGTCGATCAACCTATTAAAGAAGAGAAAGAAGTTAAGAAACTATCTAGAGAAGACCAAGAAGTCAAGAAACAACCAAAAGAAGACAAAGAGTCCAANGTCACGAAACCATCCAAAGAAGACGAGACAGTCACGAAACCATCCAAAGAAGACGAGACAGTCACGAAACCATCCAAAGAGGACAAGACAGTCACGAAACCATCCAAAGAAGACAGGAAAGTCACGAAACCATCCAAAGAGGACAAGACAGTCACGAAACCATCCAAAGAAGACGAGACAGTCACGAAACCATCCAAAGAAGACAAGACAGTCACGAAACCATCCAAAGAAGACAAGACAGTCACGAAACCATCCAAAGAAGACAGGACAGTCACGAAACCATCCAAAGAGGACAAGACAGTCACGAAACCATCCAAAGAAGACAAGACAGTCACGAAACCATCCAAAGACGACAAGACAGTCGAGAAACCATCCAAAGAAGAGATGAAAGTCAGCAAACTTCTCAAAGAAAAGAAAGGAGTCGATCAACTTATTGAAGAAGAGAAAGAAGTTAAGAAACCATCCAAAGAAGACAAGGAAATCCGCAAACCATCTAGAGAGGAGAAAGAAATCAAGAAACCATCTAGGGAAGAAAAAGTAGTCAAGAAACTTCTCAAAGAAGAAAAAGAAGACAAGCAAGTCATTAAAGCTTCCAAAAAGGAGAAAGAAGCAGAGACACCTCTTAAAGACGAGAAAGCATTTAATACATCTATCGCAGTAGGGATAGCCTTCAAGAAGCCATCTGAGGAAGACGAGAAGATCGGTAAACCATCCCAAGAGAAAATAGAAGTCTG